CCTCAGTGTCGCGCCCGTACCGGACCGGGACCGGCCACGGGATTGCAACCCTCAGTGTTGCTCCCCCACCTCGCTCAGCCAGTGAGCAGCCGGTCTGTATGTGGGATCCGAACCCTCGGCGGGAGCGCCACCACGCTTCCCAAGCGGCGCACTGTAGCAGTGCGCCACCGGGCCGGCCCATTGTGGTTTTATTTTTTAAAAGTCCTCACATGTGAGATACTTCCTCAAGTATTTCGAGTATTTACAGGTCAAATGGTATCACAGCTGGGATTTTCTTTAAAATATTCCAGGAAAAAAAGTAGTAGGGCAAAAAAATAAGGCAACATGTTGATAATTATTGAAGCTGGACTCATTATACTACTCTCTCTACTTTGGTGTCTGACGAAATTTTCCACTAAAAAGGAATTTTCCACTAACTTTTTCAATAAAACGTATAAATCAAAGCAAAACTCTAGGTTCTGCTGCTGAAAGAAATTTCAGCAAGTTAAGGAGAATATGAACGTTCTCACTTTCCCTACCATATCCAGCATCACAAAAGTGTCCTTGAAAATGTTATTTCTAAAAAGGTCTTCTAAGTTTCCCAGACTACAGATGTTGTTGCTATGACTGGTGAAACTAACCTGTACCCTCTAAAAAGTCTGTAACTTTGATTAGTTGTCATACTTAATGTGTTGCCCTGTTAATAATACTTAAATTGATGCCTCTGTTTTCTGGAAGAAATACTTGGAAATTTCCTTTATTAAGTTAGAAGATCATCACACTTCCCTTTTCTCCCTCATACAAAATAGGTACTTTTCCTTGTACAAGAGGGAGAGAAAAGCTGAGAGTCAGCTGGGGTTTTTTTTACCCCCTCCAGTGGCTGGCCAGTAAGGGGATCCAAATCCATGACCTTGTGTTATAAGGCTGTGCTCTAACCAATTGAGCTAACTGGCCAGCCTTGGATTTCTTATTTGAGTGAAGTTTGAGAGTTCTGACTCATTTAATTGTATAAGCAGCATGTTGGGCTCCTCTGCCTGCAATGGTTGAGTCAGGGCGGGCAAACAGCCTAAGCCTCCCCAAGTGGAAGGAATCTTGGGATTTGGAGGTTGGGGGCTGTGTAATGGGAAAGGTCTTTCCCACTGGATGTGGGCCTGAGAAGATACAATCTGCAGTCTTCAGTTCTAGAAGAGAGAACTGTTTTGAGCCTAAAGCCAATGCAGAGCAATCAGATCCAAGAGACAGAAAGAAACAATCTTGGTGACATTGTTTGGAATCCTGGGTCAAGCTGAGCCTAAAGTCCTGAATTTTTCAGTTACATGAACCAGGAAATTTCCTTCTCCACTTTTGGCAGATGGCTAGTTGAGCTCCCAAATCCATTTTCCCCATATTTTTTGGTAACCGAGTTTAGCTAGGCATGAGCCGCTTAGCCTCCCTTGCATTTGGATATAGCCAAGTGACTAATTCCTTATTAAGCTTAAAAGAAAATAACTTGCCCTTCTCGTCTACACTTTCCCTTTCCCATTGGTTGGAATACGGACATGGGTATGACCCAGCTGCAGTCATACAGAGATCAACACCCAGGGCCTAGGGGATGGTGAAACAAGAAAATGGAAGGGGTCTGGATTCCTCACGTCTGGACTGTTAGAAGAGAATGAACAACAGTGTCTATTTAAACCATTCCCTTCTAGGGTCTCTTTGTTACAGCATCTAAACGCAAACCATAACCAACACAGGGCTGAGGAGAGCTAGGCAGGGGGACGATCTGGGTTTCCTGGGGGCAGCCTGGAGAGAAATGGTGAAGATAAAGGAGACAGCAAGATGGCGTCATCATGGAAAAATCCTCATGGTTAAATAACAAAAGAATTAATGGGTTTTCTGCTGGAATAATGGAAATTTTTTGGAACTAGATAGAGGTGATAGTTATACAATACTGTGTATGAACTAAGTGTTCACTTTAAAATGGTTAATTTTAGGCTTGCTGGTTTGCTCAGTTGGTAGAGCATGGTGCTTGCTATACCAAGGTCAAGTGGTCAGAACCCCCTACAAGCCAGCTGCCAAAAAAAAAAAAAGTTAATTTCATGAATTTTACATCAATAAATTAAAATACAAGGAATAAGAACAAGGATGTCTGAAGTTCAAAGTAAACTTGTTTTCATTCCTGTAATGTGAACCCCTTCTCTGTCCTCCACATCTCTTCAGCAGTATCCACATCAACTACACATTGCCTGTGGGTGTGGTTGGGTTGGAAGTTTGTGAAAAATCGGGCAGTGTTTACATAGACTTGGCCCAGAACACAGAAAGCAGACATAGGACAGGGAAATGGTCCACAAACTGAAAAAACTCTGTAGAAGCAGGAATTCAGAGCCAGAGGGGACCAGGAGACCATTAACCCACACGGGGTTCTCAGCTACTGTGGATGGGGCTTTCGTCCTTGAAGGGAGAGGTTCAAGCAATCTGACGGGGTTGCCAGGAAGCAAACTGTTATCTTGGACACAATTAATAACTGTCATCTTCTCCCCTATCTCGTGGCAAAGTTATCCTAATTTCACTCTGGGTGAACTATCCTTTCTCTGACTCTTGTCTAATCTGCTGTCCTCATTGGGATAGAGCTCATGACCTGTGCTAAGCCAGCTAGCACGTTCATTAGCTTGGGACACGTAACCCAAAGTGGACCAATCAGGACCAAGGAAATAAATTTTAGGATTTTCTTTAAAGCTATTTGGGAAATAGATGCCTCCATTCTCTGGCCTGGGAGTTGAGATGATATAAACCACTTTGAGAATGGGGCTAATCCAGAAGTGGAACTGAAAACTGAAGTCCTCATTTGAGCCCCAAACCAAGCCAGGCTTGAAGCCTGATCTGTGCCCATTCTTTGCAGTTAGGTGCACCTACTAAATCCACTTCTTTGCATAAGCCAACCTGGGTTGGAGTTCTACCTGCAATTGCACTAATTCAGACATGTTAATGTCACTGAAAACAAAAGAAACTTACTTCAGATGCCCCCTCCCCATTTGGGGATAATGTAGGCTTACAAGGCCTAATTTGAAAAACTTGGGGCCAGATGCTATATATTGAAATTCAGAATTTTCCACAGTGTAGAAAGTAATATGGTATATATGTACCATTCATTATGGAAACTATTAACCTATCCTCACAAAAATTTTATGAAATAAATGTAAATATTATTCCCATTTTAGAGATGGGAATCTGAGGCCCAGGTAGGTGAAATGACTTGCCCAAGGTCACTCAGCCAGGAGACTGCAGAACCAGGATTTACATCTAGGCCATTGGCTGCAGAATCTTGTGTTTTTCCTTCATGAAATCTGCCTATATCATGGGGACTAAGGTAGGTGAAATGACTTGCCCAAGGTCACTCAGCCAGGAGACTGCAGAACCAGGATTTACACCTAGGCCATTGGCTGCAGAATCTTGTGTTTTTCCTTCATGAAATCTGCCTATATCATGGGGACTAGTGTGTTTTGGGGGACCTCTTCCTGTAGCACCAGGCCCACACCCCATTTCAGAGGCTGGGAGCCTTCAAGAGGCCCCAGCCTACCATCTGCCCTGCATTACTCACCTCCACTAGAGAGACGTCCTTGAAGTTGGTGTCAGTCAGCAGGATGAACTTCTCATTAGGAATGCCACCCAGGATGAGCACAGGTGCCTGGTTCACAGTGTGCCACAGGGGCCTTGATGGGGCATTCACAAAGTACTGGGGCATCAGGTTGAAGAGCTGCCAGGGGAGGGACAGGAGGGCTGTTCACCCACTCTCCCCACCCTCCCATGGCTCCACCTCATTTAGGTAAAAGCCAGAGTCATTACCCTGACCCACAAGTCCCACATGATTTGCCCCCATCACTTCCCTGACCTCATTCCCCACCACTCTACCCCTTGCTCACTTTCTCCTAGCCACAGGAGCCTCCTCCCTGCTTCATACACTTACCAGGCACATTCCCACCTCAGAGCCTTTGCACTGGCTATTCCCTCTGTATGAAATGCTATCCCCCCAGTATCCACATGATTCTCTCCTCTTCTTTAAGGCTTTACTCAAATGTCCAACCTTCTCAACAAGGACTTTCTTGACTGTTCTATTAAACACTGCAATCTTCTCCTGCACAGACCCGATCACCGCGTTCAATTTCTCTCCAGAACACTTGCCACCTTTTACCATATGGTGGAATTTACTTGATTTTCTTTTCTTCTTTTTTTTTTTTCTTTTTGTCTTTTTTCGTGTCCGGCAACGGACCGCAACCCTCAGTGTCGCGCCTGCACCGGACCGGGACCGGCAACGGGATCGTAACCCTCGGTGCCGCGTCCGCCCCTCGCTCAGCCAGTGAGCGGGAACCGGTCTGCATGTGGGATCCGAACCCTTAGCGGGAGCGCCACCGCGCTCCCAAGCAGCGCACTGTAGCAGTGCGCCACCGGGCCGGCCCGGAATTTACTTGATTTTCATGTTTACTGGTTTGGTGTTGGTCTCCCCTACTAGAATGTCAGCTCTATAGGGTAGGGATATGGGTCTGTGCGTTCACTACTGTGTCCCCACGATGCCACGGTGTGTGCTCAGTAGATTCCTGCTAATGAATGAACGCACCATGATTAAGAACAGGAGTCAAGCAGACATAGTTTCTTGTCTCCTTCCTTGTGTACATGCTGAGAGATTATTGGAAAATGGTTCCATCCCTTTGGGGCCTTGGTTTTCTCCTATTTAAAATGAGTTTCTCTAGCCCAGACACACACACGCTGAGCGTCCTCAGGCACAAATCCACCTGCTTAATCCTCCCCAGCTGTGACTGGTGAGGTAGCAGTTTCTCACAACAGAATCCTCCAAACAAGAGTGGGGTTGAGGGGTTTTTTGCTGCTTAGCTAAAAATAAGCCAGTGGTGGGAAAACAAAGACCAATGTGGAAGACCTTCACCCTGGAAGATGCTGTGAATGGAATAGTCTTCCTTCCTTCTCCCACTGTACTGAAGAAACATGGAATTCCATGTGTGTTACAGCACAGCTCCCCCGTCTCACAGTCCATTCACATGGAGGAAACCAATGTCAGGGGGAAGCTTCTGTAGAACTCACAGTGTAAAAGGATATCTCGTTTGCACGACAGCTGGAAGGAAGTGGCCATAATATCCTTTTGCCCCAGTGCTATCCAAAAGACAAACAGATTCTCTTTACACTTTCACTAGGGAAATGTTTAGGGACTCAGAGCAAGTGCAGAATTTACTGGGCTGCCATAAAACTCTACTGGCTAACTCTTAAGGTGAAGTAAATGAAGGGGCAGAAAGTTCTGGAACAGTTTGCTAGCCATTTCTGCACAATCAGGCAAACTTCTCCTCCTAGCTAGAGTTCAGTTTGCTGGCTAATCTTGTGCTTATTGGACAAATCCAGGTTGTCCTCCTGTATGTAAGCAGCCACAGGGCAGAGAGGAATGCCTGTCACCTTGATTGCTGACCCTGACCTCAGGTCTATACACACAAAAAGACCAGGTAGAACTTTTTTTTATCCCCAGCGCAGGTGATTAATCATGGACTGAGGCAGGCCCTTGGTTGAAAGCCGGTGGAGCGTAGCTCCCGACATCTGTTTTGTATTAGCTATTGCTGAAATGCCAGTGGCCTGAAACCATTTAGAAAACGCAGCTCTCCGTGCCCTCTGTCTCTTTCTTGGCCTCTTCCTGTGTCTCCAGCTGGTAACCAAGTGGCAAATATATTTAGGAAGCAGCAGCTAGTACCTCCCCCAACAATGCCAAGGGCCTTCCATGCTGGGGCCCCCAGATGGTGCGTTTTAGGTGGAATTCTCTGTAGATGCCTCTTGCATTCATTGAGGGACCAAAATAACTACATGTTGTTGCTGAGTTTGATGGGGAGAAAAAAACAAATTAGGCAGTCAGTTTTGTGTTCACTGAACTCTCGACAGAGGTAGACACAGAATGTCAGACCTTTTAAAACCGGGTGTTTAATTATCATGTTTTTGTCGCCCCGGTCACAGTCCTCTTTGCTTTTCACTACCTCAGCCTCAGAGGAGAGACAGAATCCTGATTGAAGAATAAATATCTGCAATGACAGTCACAAGATAAGCTTATGATGTGGCTGGATAAGTGTAGTTTGCAGCCACCAGACAGCTGGCGCTGAAGTACAGCAATATCTTATGTGAGCAGTTTGGGAATGTATCTCATGTCAAAAATAAACAGTAGGAAAGTGAGAAAATTCCTTTGTACTCCTTTCTTTCCTCCCTGAATACCCTAAATCTTCCCACTTAGTCACTCCTGTTTTTTATACCAATCAAACTCAAGTGTAAAAATATGTGTGCCCCGTTCCAGGAACCAGAGCAAAGGTTGAGGGTCACAGCTGCAGGGGCTGGTGCCACTTTCTCCAAGTGCATGTTGGGTGAAGAGCAGGTTCAGTACCTCACCCACCAACCTCCTGATAAAATTTCACAAATAATCAGAATAAATAAAATAACCATACAAAATGGTTTTAAAGTGAGGCATGGTTGTATTTTTCATAGCGAATACATTAAAAAAAAATCACTCTTTTTTGCTTTACCTTTTCTCCATAGAAGGTAAATAAAAATAATTGAGGTTCAAAAATGAAGAGAGCTACTTGAAAGACCTTGGCATTTTATTCAACTCTTTCTCCTAATAATTGAATAAAAACTGGTCCTGTCCACCCTTATCTCCTGCCTAGACAAGGCAGCACCGTCCTTGCTGTCTCCCTGCTCCTGCCTGCCCCAGCACAGTAGGAGGGTGCCTGTGAGGCCTGAGTCAGACTATGTCCCTCCTCTGCTCAGAGCCCTATCATGGCTCCATCTCACTCAGAGTAAAAGTCACGTCCTCACCATGGCCCGTGAGGCCCTAACAATTTCCCCCATCGTCTTCCTGCCCTCTTTCCTCCCGCCCTCCCTCTCGCTCACTCTGCTCCAGCCACAGGAGCCTCTCTTCACAGTTACACACACGGCCCTCCTTCCTACTTCCAGGCCTTTGAGCTGGCTGTTCCCTTGGCTTGGAGTGCTTTCCCTAGCTCTCCTCATGATCTCCATTTTTGTCACTCAGGTCTCTGCTCTAGCCTCTTCAGAGAGACCTTCTGCAACCACCCCTGCTAAAACAGTGGCCCCCTACTTTCTAACATATCACCTCATTCTATTTTCTTCACTGCATTTATTATTCTCAGATATTATTTTATTTTGTTTTATTTATTTATTTTTTATAAAAAAGATGACCGGTAAGGGGACCTTAACCTTTGACTTGGTGTTGTCAGCACCACGCTCTCCCAAGTGAGCTAACCGGTCATCCCTATATAGAGATCCGAACCCTTGGCCTTGGTGTTATAAGTACCACACTCTCCCAAGTGATGCATGAGCCAGCCCTAGATATTATTTTATGTATTTATTTGCTAATTGTCTGATTCCCTGGTGGACTGAATCCACAAGAAAAACCTGACCATTTTGTTTACCACTGTATCACTTGCAACAAAAAGAGGGCCTGGTTCATAGTAGGTTTTAAATGAACAGAATATTCACTGAATGAACAGGTATTATTCCTGCACTTTACAGATAAGTGAACTCCATGAACCTCTGCATAGTGAACCTCACTCTCTAGTAACTTCTTGCTAACATTTACTGAGCCCTTTCTGTGAACCAGGCACTGTACTAAGTGTTTCTTACATAATTATTTTGTGAAAGGGGTGTGATTGCTATCACACCCTCATTAAGGATGAGGAAACCTTGGCACAGAGAAGTTAAGTAACTCGCCTGAGATTACACAGCTATTACCTGGCAGAGCTGGAATTTGAACCCAGGCAGCCTGGCTCCAGAGCCCAAACAATTAACTATCATGCTCTACTTTCTCCAAGTAAATGTTAGTCAATGGCAGACTCAAAACCAAATCTGCAACCTCAGAACTTCAGATCTGGACTACAACACTCTATTGTCCTCAAAAAGCTTACTTGAGACAAATCTAGAAAAAGAAAAAAGTTAGGGAAACCAAAAAAAAAAAGAAAAGAAAAGAAAAGAATAAAGTTAGAGGACTCAAACTTTCCAATTCAAAAACTTACTACAAAGCTACAGTAATCAAGACTGTGTGGTACTGGCATATGGATAGATATATACAGCAATCAAATAGAATTGAGTCCAGAAAGAAACTCTTACAGGGCCGGCCCGTGGCTCACTCGGGAGAGTGCAGTGCTGATAACACCAAGGCCCCGGGTTCGGAATTTTTTTTTAAAAAAAAAGAAACTCTTACACGTATGATCAATTGGCTTTTTGGTGTGTGTTTCGGTGGCTGGCTGGTACAGGAATCTAAATCCTTGACCTTGGTGTTATAACATTGCACTCTAACCAACTGAGCTAACCGGCCAGCCCTGGTCAACTGATTTGTGACAAAACAATTCAATGGGGAAAGAATAATCTTTTCAGCAAATGGTACTGTGACAACTGAATATTCACATGTAAAAGTTGGATTCCTACCTCACACTGTGTTAGTTTAGTTTAATTTATACAAAAATAAACTAAAAATGGATCAAAGACTTTAATGTAAAAGCTAAAACTAAAAACCGCTTAGAAGATATGAGTAAGTCTTCATGACCCCTGATTAGGCAAAGCCTTCTTAGATGACACCAAAAGCACAAGCAAGAAAAGAAAAAAACTGACAAATTGGACTTACCAAAACTAGAAAATTTTGTGCTGCTTTATGCTGGGTAAATTATATCTTAGTAAACATAAAACTTTTGACCTTTAAAGGACACTGCCAAGAAAACAAAAAGACAACCCACAGAATGGAACAAAATATTTACAAATTATATATCTGACAAGAGAACTAGTATCTAAAACATAAAGAACTTTTACAACTCAACAATAAAAAGACCCAATTTAAAAATGGGCAAAGGATCTGAATAGATATTTCTCCAAAGAAGATAAATGGCCGATAAGCACATAAAAAGACATTGGCAGCATCACTAGTTAAAAGGTAAACACACATCAAAACCACAAGGAGATACCACTTCACATACACTAGGATGGCTATAATAAAAAAGATGGACAATGTGGGCCGGCCCATGGCTCACTTGGGAGAGCGTGGTGCTGACAACACCAAGTCAAGGGTTGAGATCCCCTTACCGGTCATCTTAAAAAAAAAAAAAAAAAAAAAGACGGACAATAACTAGTGTTGGTGAGGATGCAGAGAAACTGGAATCCTCACACATTGCTGATGGAAATATAAAATGGTGCTGTTGCTTTGGAAAATAGTCTGGCACTTCCTCAAAAGTTAAACAGGGTTAGAATTTGACCCAGCAATTCCACTCCTAGGTATATACTTGTACCAAAGAGAACAGAAAATATATGTTCACACAAAAATTTTACACAAATGTTCATAGCAGCATTATTCATAAGAGCCAAAAAAGTGGAAATAACCCAAATGTCATCAGTTTATGAATGGATAAACAAAATATGGCACATCCATACAGTGAAATAGTAATCAGCCATAAAAAGTAGGTACTGATACATGCTACAACATGAATGATACTTGAATACATGCTAAGTGAAAGAAGCCAGATACAAAAAGCCACATATTATATGATCCCGTGTTTACAAAACGTTCAGAATAGGCAAATTCACAGGGACAGAATCAATGTAGGTTAGTGGTCTCCAGGGGATGGAGGGAGGGGAAATGGAATGGGGAGTGACTGCTAATGGGTTTAGGGTTTCTTTGGGGGGAGATAAAAGTGTTCTGGGATTGGGCCGAGCCCGTGGCGCACTCGGGAGGGTGCAGCGCTGGGAGCGCGGTAGTGCTCCCGCCGCGGGTTCAGATCGGGTTCGGATCCTATATAGGGATGACCGGTGCGCTCACAGCGCTCACTGGCTGAGCGCGGTGCGGCCAGTCTCAAAAAGGACAAAAAAAAAAAAAAAAAAAAAAAAAAA